CGTACCCCCCCCCCTCAACTCTCTACGCGAGATTGTCTCCATACTCAAATCAGCACTGGCCTAGCTCATCTCCGCCAAGGGGTTAGAGTGAATGGCCGAAGTTCCACATTCCTCTGGCACAATTTGAGTTCCTCGTAAGGACACCGACTTTTGATGCCCCATTATGGTGCCACTTCTGTCAACGACTGGTACAGGATGGATCATGGGCCCAATCAACCCCTGACCACGATGTCAACTCGTGCTCAGAGGCCACGCGACCTCACTCACACCAAGGCGTAAGCGAAGTGGGCTCACAGTAGGGGAGCTATGAATGAGAATAATGCTCACGTGCCTTCTGCCCTTGCCCTCTGCATCCTTCCCTGTCGATATGGTGGTGGTGGTGGTGATGGTTGGGTAATGGTATATCTTATAAACGTCCTTATCTTATCTTAACGTAATTCACATAGTGCTTTAACCAAGTCGCTTTACAGAGAATTAAGAACGGCATAACAACGAGTGTGTGAATGTAAAGGTGGACATGAGGTGAATTAGATAGATGAGAGAGGAAGCAATGGGGGCGAATCTGTGATGATGCGTGAATTGGGTGAAAGCGAAATTGATGACAGTAAATGCTGGTGAACGTGTAGTGACATCTGAGATGTCACTGTATGGTGCCAGCCCAGGAGGGCCGTGAAGTGTGATGTCCTTACGTCGCAGACAGCACCGGGAAGGTTGCTGTGTGACGCCGGTTTGAGCATAGCACGGCGTGCGATGCACCATCGCGTACACCACGTAGATGGGTGTAGTACCAGTCCTAGCGGGGCTTGGTGAGTGCTGGGATAGCGCAGGCACCACACATGGCGTCTAGTGCGGGCTCCCACAAGGGGGAGCGTGAGAGTATCAGCCCAGGGACAGGGTTGCCCCGGGCCATGGCACTCTGGTTATCCCCATAGACACGTGATCTGTGGACACTCCAGATCAAGGCAAAGGCCCCAGGCCTTCTCTGGGGGGTGATCACGTGTCCAGGGAGAGCTCCCGAGGGGGATCGAGAGGGAACTAGAACGCTCCAGAAGGTGGGCGGGGCCAAGGGCGGAGCCGGCCCCGACCCGGGAGGATATAAGGTCGCTTCGTTCTACAAGCTGGAAGCTCTACGTCCTACGAGGCATCAACACGTGGTCGGGGTCCCGAGTGAGGGTCCGACCCTTCGTAGCTGTAACTCCTATGTATAGTGTAGTTAGCTGGGTTGTCACCACCCCAGGCTGTATCTGGTAAAGGGGCAGTTACCCCTTTGTATATATGCCTCTAAAGATTAACGTCTGCGACTCAGTTGCAATCACTACAAATGGATTGAATGAATGGGGAATTAGTGATAGCCGTATAATGAGAATATGAAGAGAGGTGGTGGTTATGCTTTGAAGTCAGAGTTTCTCTACGTTGTACATGGAATGTAGTGGAGGTGAAGCTTAGGCTGAAATATGATTGACTCGTCTTCTCGGGGTGAGTGCATGCAGGCGTGTTCCTTTGTACAGCTGTCACTACTTCCTAAATACAGCAGCATATCGTTTGCATCTCGTTTTTAATGAATTGACATACAATTATTCTTAGGTGACCATACATTGAGAATTGATATTGATTGATGATGGGATTGCAAATGTGTAGGAGGTCATGACCCCAGCTCACAAGGACCTGGTTGTAGGCTCATTGCGCGAGAATTCCGTCTTGCGGCAAGTTCGATGAACAGTGGCCTAACGCAGGCACTATAGCAGCTTCTCATATCCATTTGAAAGGAGACATCGTCATTGTTTAACACATTTGATTTCATTTAATTTAGGTTTACATTGTACCACATTGATCTTCCCAATACATCGGCATCGAGCCACACGAAATCTGGAATTCCTACATATAGAGCAGTGGTTCTCAACCTTCACTGCAGCCTGCACCCCGTTGATTCTCAGAAAGGACATCTCGCAGCCCCAGGGGGTGCGTGCACCCCAGGTTAAGGACCAAAACGCTGAAAAGAGCCCCTCGATATTCCAGGGATAATTAAGCGATATCCCAGTACAGTTCATCCGTTTTCTTCGTAAATTATCTTATTACAACGAATGTCACATTTATCCCCACGTTATAGCTTGCAATGTTACGTACATTATGCTATGTATACACGATACAAGTATGAAGAGCAGTGCAAAATAAAGGTTGAAAAAAACCCCACCGAAAATCAAAAGGCGATTGTGGAAGGCACGGCAACAATTCTGCAGTGGAGGCTAAAGTGGGTCCAGGGTGGTACGTGGCGGGGATGCTGAGCCATCGTGGAGACGTAGCGTCGCCTCTTCTTAGCACGCTGTTAGAAATTAGACCTGTGCGAGGGCAGGTTGTTATGCGTTTTTTTAAATTATTTTAAAGATTTTCGGGGTACCTCTAAAAAAAACACACCGCACATTCGCCCCTTGTTATTTTCAGGGCACACTCTCCATTGCTGCATTGCTCCGTACTTGGCAGTGCAGGGCCCAATTCACGTTCTTCACGCAGTTAAAACTCCTGGTTACATCTCAGGTAAAAAAAAAAACTCGGGCATGGTACAAACATACCCCCACGCCTTCTTGGCTCTACCCGATTCCTGCGCAACTTTGCGTGGGGAGAAACCTCTCCCCGTCCCTAGAAGAGACGCTGCGGGGTCTGAAACCTGGCACGGGAACGAGAAGTCGACAATGCCCTGCTCCAGACCTTTGAACATCGTAGCCAGGGAAGACGATGCCGGTAAAGCGGAAAGAACACGAACCCTCTTAATGGCGACAGTGATGTGGTACAACTCTTCCGAGAGCATGGATAACTTGAGGCATCAGCTTCGGGGAAAGGAGACGGAGTACGAGGCCAGGTGGTTCCCTTTTATACGGAGCTTGAAGTGAGGCGGTCGGATTAGTGGGGGGGTGGGGGGCTGTAGATGGGGACCGAAAAAGAGAGGAATAGCAGCCCCTCAGTGGTGAAGTTGGAGCGCAACTCGGAATGGTGGAAGGAAAGCATTGACGCCCATTAGCCGCATGTTATGTTACTTCATTTTAGGGGTCTTCTTTGTCCTCCTTTACCCCCCATCCTTTTCCCCATCTCCCCTACCTAAGGGTTTCCTCGTGAGGTTCGTTATACTTCCCCTTCCCCCGCCATCTCCTCCCCATTGAAATGCCCATCTCCTCCCAGACGTCGTGGCGTCTTCACTTGGTTTGGGCAGCAGCGGGGGGGGAGGGGGGGCACCCCACCACTTACCCCCCCCCCCCCTCCCGCCTCTATAATGGTTCAGTTGCGTCGGGATCGTCTTCCGGCACCGCTTGACAACAACAAACCAACTCCGTGACATTGTCCGCCGAGTCAAAGCTTATCACGGGGAAAAATCATTCCGCCCACACAAACATTCAGCTCCAGATGCTGAGTTTGTACAAGTTTGCGGAGCGTGCTGTATACATTGTGCATTTATAAACCGATGATGCAGGCCAATTCGTAGCAAATACTGCGTTCAAAACTTAAACATCCACAAAGTACATTTGGCTATTTTACCTTATTGCAGTTGTATTTGTTTAACATTGTGCTGTATAGTTAATTACCGATACTTTTGGATACATTATTCTTAGACTCTGGGTTTCCGTTTTTGTGAATAAAAACACGTGGACTGTCCACTTCTTTGGCAACCCTGTGAATTAAAATTTGTGCATTTTTTTCTCCTTCAGATTCCGTGACCTGGTAATTACTCTTGCGAAGTGCGTGCGATATGAAAGAAAAAAACACAAATCTCACGGGCACATCATTCTCAACTCACGCGAGTGGTCGCTCGCTCACAAGCGGCATCGCACAGCAACGTGATAATGCGAGACGTCGTTTTTCTGCTGCTTCCCATCGAATTGTATGCAGCCCACCCCCTGACCCAACCAAATCGCTGACCGCAGTCGGGGCCGGCCGATGTCTCCTGACCGGCCCAGTGCACGAGGAGCCATTCATAGGGTTTGCATCGCGTGTGCGTGCATGTATACTCTCAGTACTTGCGGGAAGCGGTGGTGGAGCGGTTAGCGCTACGCTGTGCTACAAACGCGGCAACCCGACTTCGATTCCTGCCCACGACCAACACCAGTGACGATTATCTGAACCGGTCCGAAGCCTCCCCTAGGTCGACTCAGCCTCAAATGAGTACCTGGTGCGGTGTGTAAACATCGCCACTGGGGAGACAAAAGCGGGCGGGGGTGGCGCTGGCCACCCACCCCCTCGTGTGCCGTGCCGGCCTTCATAGGTGTTTGCTAACAGCACTTGCCCCAACTGTCTGTTAAGGCTGTACGGGAGATCTTTGTCTTTGTTTGTGTTCACTGCACTGCACTACAAAACATTACTGTACTAATTTAGGTCCTCCTCACACTATTGGTCACGTGGGGGGGGGGGGGTGGTTGTTTGACAATACTTCACCAGTGTGGTGTGGTGAAGCGGAGGATCTCTTCACCACAGCCTCACCACTGGTGTTAAACCTGTGGCCAGGAATCGAACTCGGGTTGTCAGGTTCGCGGTGAATTGCGTTAACCTCTGCGCGGCCACTCTGCCCTCGTTGTATAGCTCGTGCGAGCGATTCGCTTACCGTCAATTACGTTATACACGAAGATTGTTGCCCAAATTGTGAAACCAATTTCTCCGTGACATTTTGACGTCACGTTAATGTAAGTTGCCAGTGATTGGGAAAAGACGATCGAGAATTTGTGCATCATGGTTCAGGGACCCCATTGTTTGAACCCCGCGACCTCAGCGGCGCTGGCTCACGGCCGAACCATTCGTTTGCTTCTGTAGTCCAGCTTCTGGAAAGACTCCGGTCTATCGGCTCCAACGTGCGACAGCACCAACACGGTTTAACACGTGGTAGTCAGAGGAGGCTTTCACCACCAATATTATCCATATTAGAGGTTTTTGGGGGTTAGATCGCGTAAATATAAATCTGTCGATAAAGCCGCCACCACAACCAATCAGTAAGGCATGTCATGTAAACAAAAAGTGCCAATTCGTTACTAGTTCAGCAGACATCGGTGTGTTGGATCGTAAACCCACTACAACATTTACAAATTGAGTACTAACCAACACTTCCACAACCTCATGAGCGGTGCCGGTCTTCCCCCCTGCTCTTAATAATTTAATGCTAGATAATTGTCGGCCATTTCACTCACGGCGACGCCCTGATGACCTCCTGCTCTATCTGAGCACACATCTGGCTGCTCGTAGAGGCTTGTGTCCATTTCGTACGTTCCACTTCCAGGGCCATCTTTTAAAGTGACCTCTTCGTAGACGTTGTCCTCCTCTTTTATGTCAATATGCACGTTCGGCTGAGCATGCTGCCTCGGTCCCATCGCATGTGGGTGATACTTGGCCTTGTCTGGAGGTCCCATGATGGCTTGATGTTCCTTTTCTCGAGGTGTCACATTTGCCAGTTTATCTGGCTTATCCATCGGAAGTGGCATTTTTGGTCTTGAAAAACCTGGCTGTGAGATTATCTGAGGACCCATCCCTGACTGTGAGATTATCTGAGGACCCATCCCTGGCTGTGAGATTATCTGAGGACCCATCCCTGACTGTGAGATTATCTGAGGACCCATCCCTGATTGTGAGGTGACCTGAGGACCCATCCCTGGCTGTGAGAATATCTGAGGACCCATCCCTGACTGTGACATTATCTGAGGACCCATCCCTGGCTGTGAGGTGACCTGATAACCCATCCTTGGCTGACCAATGAATTGAGGACCCAATCTTGGCTGACCAGTGAACTGCGGAGCCACCATTGGGTGAGAAACAAACGTTGGCTGAGTGCCCATTCCAGGCGGCATAGCAAACATATAAGGCTGAGCGCCCATCCTCGGTTGTGTCGTGTATTGAGGCACAAACATTCCGGGTGGTGCATTGACCATCATGGGTTGCGGATGATCAGCACCAGCCATCGTGGGCTGGGAAGCCACTGGGTATGCCGTCGGCGGCTGCGCGTAGAATTGTGGTCCTTGCTGTGGTTGAGCATGAAATGGGTGTCCCATCGGCGCGTTGGTGGTATAAGCAGGAGGGGGCATTGGGGCTGCGAAATGTCCAGATGGTTGTGGCTGCCCTTCCCATCTCCCGTCTGTCATGGTCTTCACTGCCCTCACGAAGGCCGTGAGAGGATTGCTGTGGTGGTGCTGGGTTGTCGATGAGGGTGGTGGTCTCCCCTCCCCCTGTAGTCACACAGCACACGGCGTCGTTGTTGAGCGTGTGTAAGTGTTACGCAATACGGGCAGTCCTCGACTTACGAGCGGGTTCGGTTCCTGAGTCCCGTTCGTACGTCGAACAATTCGTAAGTGGGAATGCAGTGATGTGCTGTATTTAACTGCACGCACGGTTAGTATTTATAAAATGTGTTACGGTTTAACAGATATGGGAAGCATTATTAAACTCATATATAAGAACATCGTAAATTTGCATGTAATAATTGTGTAATAAATAAATAAAGTAATATGATACTCTTTGGTTCTTTCGGTAAAGTCACGTAGATAGAAAAGGATCTCCTACCTCAACAGTTTTCCTGCTGTGTTTTTCTCACCTGATGACGGTTGCTTGTGTTGCGATCGAAACGTCGTGATCTATTTCTATCTACGTGACTTTACCGAAAGAATCAATGAGTATGGATTCCTGCAGTCACGGAAGCTTCAAATCAAAGTAAAACGTATAAAACAAATTCAGTTTTTTTTCACTGACCTTGATTCCACAATTGCACGCACACTCACACGGGGACACGCACAACAACAACAAAGATCCCCCGTGTAGCCTTTACAGGCTGTTGGGGCAAGTGCTGTGAGTGAGCAGCGCCTATGATGAAGGCCGGTAGGGCACACGAGGGGGTGGGTGGCCAGAACCACGCCCGGCTGCATTTGACTCCTCAGTGGCGATGTTTACACATCGCACCAGGTACTCATTTGAGGCTGACTCGACCTGGGGGAGGCCCAAGACCCATTCAGATATTCGCCACTGGTGTTGGTCGTCAGCTGGAACCGAAGTCGGGTCGCCGCATTGGTAGCGCAGCGCGCTAACCATTGCACCACCACTCCCTACAAACACACACAGGGGCACGCATGCGCGTGCACGCACACACGCGCGCGCATACGCGCGCGCACGGATGGCTATGTACGGTGTGCAAGAAGTTCAACATACATACTCTTACTTCCTCACACACACACATGTGCGCATGCACACACAGACACTCATGAGACCCGCGATTCAGTTTCCAATGGCGAGTTCGCGTTTCAAGTCGATGTAAAAAAAAATTCGTGGAAGCTAGTTCGCAGGTGCGGATGTGCGTAAGTCGATGACTGCCTGGACACGTGAGACCAAGTCCATACGGGCAGCTGGTACTCTCATGGCGGTATGTGTCTCGCCCTTGCACATTTCACGCGGGTAAGAACCGCTTCTCTCTCTACAGAGCGGTGGCGCAACTTTGTGAAATTCTTTGTACAACCTGTTTGACAGGTGTAATGTGATGCATTGATAGGACACCGTGGTAATGCAGACTGGAATCTGAACAGTGCGATGCTGAAATATGCACCCAATACTCCGCAACCCTAAAACCACGCGGAAGTGGAGTTGTGGTGCCACCGCAGCGGAGCAACTCGGCCGGCGCTACCCTCTCCTCGCAACCCCTTCCCCCCCCACCACGAACGCACGCACGCCCCACTAAACACTCGCATGCACCCCCGTAGGGTCTCACCCGAGGACCCCACTAGCAGGGACGTTCCACGGTTTTCCCTGACCAGGAAATTGGCTGAGCCCCCCAGACCGGATTACATGGCGGCCCCCCCAAAAAGGGGGCATAGAGCTTTACAGGCCGGCCGCGATGAAGCATACACAGCACGAGGGGATTATCGGTGAGTCAACGGCGAGGAATGCAGGTACAGAGACAATGAGAAGGGGGGGGGGGGGGATGACGCGACCCCCTCCCCCCAACGGCCAGAGCGCTCAAAACGGCCGCAAAGAGGATTCTATTGGAGGCGCAGGATGACATCATATGACCCGGGGGTTAAGGGGCTTTGGGGACGTAAGGGGGCCGGAGGGGCGGATTGAATCAGAGTTCTTCTGGAGTGGCGGAGAATACCAGCCGCCCTCAGCGTCCGTGGGATGCCTGCAGGGTGCAGCTGAAAACGATTGCCTAGGCAAAGTCTCCGAGGCGGGCATCTTCCCCAACCCCCATCGTGCAGCTGGAAAGGTGGGTCAGTATGGGGGGAGGGGGCCAATTCAGCCCAGCTCGCAGTCAGCTCGAGCTTGGAGGATAGACGCACTCTGCGACGGCTAGGTGATAGGAGGTTAGGCGCTGTCCGAACGGTGCTGGCTGAAGGGGGGCCATAAACAGGGGTCCCTATTCGCTCCAGGAAATAAATCTCAGACTGACGTTGTGACGCGTGGTGCAGGTGTGCGTGTGAAGAGTGGTGGGACAGCGATCGGCGTACGACGGTGGGTGGGTGACTACAAATCAGTGTGGGTGTGACGCACGCGCATATTAAAATATAAACGGTTGCCCGCGCCGGCGCGTGTCTGTGCGTGCACCGCAGTGTTAACGGTGAGACACACGTGGGTGGGTGGGTGGGGGGGCCGCGCGATCGCCGATTTATTTATTAATATCCGGACCGCGCGGAAGCGTTCGCTTTGTTAACGCCACAACGGCTTAGTGGAAATTATTAATTAAACCCCACAAAGCGGCGAGTCAAACAATTACGTAATCCACGCGGTTAGGACACGCGAGGAGGGGGGAGGAGGTGATTGACCCCCCCAATGGCGGGTGGGGGGAAGGGCATTAGCCCCCACCAATTAGAAGTGGTGCCCCCCCTCCGCCCGGGGTGGGTGAGGGGGAGGTCGGCCCCCACCTAATGGGGAATGAAGGGGGGGGGGCATCAGCCCCCACAGAGTGTGCATCTCATTGCTTCTGTAGTGTCTGGTGTTTAAAATAAATTTGGGCCCCGCGTTTATGTCTCAGTTCATTTAGAGGCCAGTAAATTGTCAGTTTGACTGCGAATGGATAAACAATGGATGTTCAATATTAGTCACCGTAGTCTGTGACTTCACTTTCCTCACGAGGGCCGTGAAGGGATTGCTGTGGTGGTGCTGAGTTGTCGACGAGGGTGGCGGTCTCCCCTCTCCCTGTAATCACACAGCACACGGCGTCCTCGTTTGAGCGTGTGTAAGTGTTACGCAATACGGGCAGTCCTCGACTTACGAGCGGGTTCCGTTCCTGAGTCCCGTTCGTACGTCGAACAATTCGTAAATAGGAATGCAATGATGTGCTGTATTTAACTGCACGCACGGTCAGTATATATTAAATGTGTTACGGTTTAACGGAAATGGGAAGCATTATTAAACTCATAAATAATATCGTACATTTGCATGTAATAATGTAATAATTGTGTAATAAATAAAACATTAAATAAAGTAATGAGTAGAAAACAAATTCAGTTTTATTTTCACTTACCTTGATTCCACAATTACACGCACACTCACACGGGGACACGCACAACAACAATAAAGATCCCCCGTGTAGCCTTCAGAGGCTGTTGGGGCAAGTGCTCTGAGCGAGCAGCGCCTATGATGAAGGCCGGTAGGGCACACGAGGGGGTGGGTGGCCAGCACCACGCCCGGCTGCATTTGACTCCCCAGTGGCGATGTTTACACACCGCACCAGGTACTCATTTGAGGCTGACTCGACCTAGGGGAGGCCCAAGACCCATTCAGATATTCGCCACTGGTGTTGGTCGTGAGCGGGAACCGAAGTCGGGTCGCCGCATTGGTAGCGCAGCACGCTAACCATTGCACCACCACTCCCTACAAACACACAGGGGCACGCACGCGCGTGCACGCACACACGCGCGCGCACTCTTTCACGCGCCTCCCGATGAGCACGGATGGCTACGTACGGTGCGAAAGAAGTTCAAAATACATACTCTTACTTCCTCACACACACACATGTGCGCATGCACACACAGACACTCATGAGACCCGCGATTCAGTTGGCAATGGCGAGTTCGCGTTTTAAGTCCATGTAAAAAATGTTTCGTGGACGCTAGTTCGTAGGTGCGGATGTGCGTAAGTCGATGACTGCCTGGGACGTGTAAAGTTACGCAACCTCTCTGGATACGTGAGACCAAGTCCATACGGGCAGCTGGTACTCTCATGGCGGTGTGTGTCTCGCCCTTGCACATTTCACGCGGGTAAGAACAGCTTCTCTCTCTACAGAGCGGTGGCGCAACTTTGTGAAATTCTTTGTACAACCTGTTTGACAGGTGTCATGTGATGGCAATGATAGGACACCGTGGTAATGCAGACTGGAATAAGAACAGTGCGATGCTGAAATATGCACCCAATTCTCCGCAACCCTAAAACCTATCGGAAGTGAAGTGTACATCTGTAGTGTCTGATGTTTAAAATAATTTTGGGCCCCGAATTTGTGTCCCAGTACATTTAGAGGCCTGTAAATTGGCAGTTTGACTGCGAATGAATAAACAATGGATGTTCAATATTAGTCACCGTGGACTGTGACTCTAGTGTGAAATCAATTGTAGTAGCAGATTGTTATAGTTTATCGAGATAATAATTGCCGTTATCAGAGCACCACAAGCATCCAAACAAATCCATTCGTACATGCTGTATCGTGCCCAATTATGACACCCATAACTGCGCCATTGCCGAACACTGAACAGAATTGCTGAAAGCACAGCCGACAAATTAATCCCGTACACGCATGTGGCCCAACGCAAAACGAGCCTGCCTCTCTAGGATGAAGCCATCACGCCTCCCCTGCTCCATCACGCGGGCGATGAGAGAACGCGCTCATCCCTTGTCGGCCCCGGGCCAGCGTTGGAAATTCCACATTCCGATGGCGCGGAGCACCCTGCCTAGACTCTAAACTCGCACAGAAACCTGACAATGTTTGACTCGATGATTAAACCACCCGTCCACGTTCGCCTTACCCGCACAACATATCACCTGTGTAATAAAATAACAATGCAACGTCTTTACTTATAAAGAATGTTTATGCTGTAATTGACCCAGACGCAGTCTGTTTTTTTTGCACAATCAACCGCCGTTCGCCACTTCATGATGGTGACTTCACAACGGTGCTTGTGCCAGGCTAGGTGCACATCCACTGCCTCGTCATACGTGCACTTAAACATGACTGCTCGTATCCCTCGAGTGGCTGAGAGCTTAACATATATTGCGGTGTGTGTCACAGGCACCCGTGGATTTTTACCTCGTCCCCCATTGAAGACACCTTCCTGTCCTCCATCAGCAGGCGCTTGGTTGTTAACAAGATGCTGGGCCGATACTCAAGCGGCAAATGAGGCTAGAGACGCGTTCGTCTGAACAGATAAAAAAATACATTTCCGCATAGTTCACGTGCCCTGCTTTTCCAGGTTTCCGGATGCTTGGTCTTTGTGGCGAGTGGCCTGCGCTGTGTGCAAAAGATAACAGGTTATTAATACTTACCCACCAAAGGTGTGCAATTATGTCATGACATAATTACGACAAACTGGGAAAAACACTGGAATGCAAAATCGATTTATTATTTTAACGTTTGACAAATTATGACATTACATGAATCATACCTTATTATATAACTGTCCTGCCTCAGGTTTTTCCAAAGTGAAACTTGAAGTGGTGTGGATCTCAGTCATTTAATAATTTCGCAGAATCCCTCTTGTGCATCTGACAATCTTTGCAACATTGTTTAGGTTCTTGTCAATTGCAATTCCTCCTGTAAAGGCCTCGCTCTGATCACTTTACACCAATGGGCATTTTCAGAGAGGTAGAGTTTGAGTTTTATTGTGATTAAAAAAAAAAATCTTTAGAAACAGTACAGTCGACCATAACCAAGTTTGCATGTAATAATATTGAGGCCCAATTTGCCATATGGAGTATGCGCAATAATTTGTGAGATGGAAAACTAAACAGATTCGAAGGAACATCTGACGTTATACACGGTTACATTTCGATTCAAAGCTTTCGTGACTGCAGGGATTAATATTCTTAGTTCTTTAGGTAAAGTCACGTAGAAGGGAAATAATAAAATAATAAAAATACAAATATTAAATTCTCACGTTTCGATTGCAGCACAAGGAATCATCATCAGGTGTGAAAACCACAGCAAGAAATTTTTGAAAAAAGTGGCGGTTTTTTCAAAAATTTCTTGCTGTGGTTTTTATTATTTCCCTTCAACGTGACTTTACCGAAAGAACCAAGAATATGTTATACACGATTTTTATGTTCCGCAGTTGGTATGTTTTATCATACTGGCTCGATGCAAAAACCGAGCACGTGGATCAATCGATGCGATGTGAATTTACCCTGGAAAATAAAGCACATTTGGCAAGTGTGTAATATTGTAGCTTTCGAAAATAAGGCAACAATGCAAACATCTTGACTTCAGTAGCGATCTTGATATCTTTCGATCAAGTGAAGTGCGTGCATGATGCATAGATAACATGGCTGTAGCTGCTAGAGATTACCTCGGGTTGTGTGGATTAAGTGCGGATTTATTGAAGTGCTGTATGGTTATGCGACGACAAACAACATCAAATGCGATTTTCATGCGAGTCTGATGTGTTTGAAGAGGTGCCTCTCACTTTACAAACCTCATGCTCATTCCCAAAACACATTTCTACGTTCATCAAATGCATCTCCGCTCAATTACACACGTTGTGGTGGACTTGAGGTGACTGGCATTTGAGAAGCCCTGGTCTGTAAGCAGGTGGAATTGTATATTCTTGGTTCTTTCGGTAAAGTCACGTAGAAGGGAAACAATAAAATAATAAAAATATAAAACAATACAATTCTCACGACGTTTCAACTGCAACACAAGCAATCATCATGTGTGAAAACCACAGCAAGATAAGAATATGAATCCCTGCAGTCACCAAAGCTTTAAATCAAAATTCAGGTGGAATAGGTCAAAGGAATTGACACAAGTGTGATGCATCATATACCTTTAATGATCCTCTGAACTATCCTCTGAACTCTATCCTATGTTATTGACACATATGAATTGAAATTAAAATAGCACCTCTGGACATGACAACGAGCAAGGATTATCGTTGCTGGATGTGCAACTCTGTATTGGAAGTCGCATCTTTACTTGTGCAAGGAGGGAGGGTGAAATGACGGAAACGAGGATTTGTTTAGCTGGTTGCAAAGATGGTAATGTTTTTGTTAATATTAGAGAATATTGTGCACATCATTAGACGGGCTAAGCATTACATTGCTCTGGTGCGAGGTGAATGTTACTATAAACTAGCATCAAATGGCTTGTGGGTACTCTTGAATGTCTTATGAAAATTAAATGTATCGTATCTGAATGATGGCGTGTTTGCATTTGCTCAAATGTGTTTCTCTTAAGTAGTGAGACCTCATACTGGCCATCAACAACAATGTGGAACACCGATTTTATTCGTGAAAATGTTCCCATCTAAATTAACATTCCATGTTTAGGAACCTTGCTGTACTGCAGGATCAGGACCCCTAAGTCACTTGGTTTATTTTAGAATTAAGACAGCATTCAAAGCAGAATGAGTAACACCAAGCGGACACTGGTAAACAAATGGTTTTAAAGTATACTCTTTGGTTCTATTCGGTAAAGTCACGTAGGTAAAAAATAAAACAAAAAATCACGACGTTTTGGCCACAACACAAGTGGCCTTCATCAGGTGAATGGACCGGACTGTCCAGAGGACAGCGTTGGAGTGAAAACAGCCAAGCCCAGGTCGCGTCCTTTAAGCTGTGTGGGAGGAAACAAAAGCGCCTTGACAAAGGAATTAGCATAAAAATTAGCATGATGTACGTAGGAGGTACATGATGGACCGGTGCGGGGGTGGGGGAGTTTACGTAATGTTGGTTTGAAGGGAAAATAAGCAGCTGTGAAAGTTTGGGATACCACTACTTGAAAAAATATACTGTACCATTGAAAATTAGTTTAATGTTTGGTTTGATTTAGAACATCTTTCCAATGATTGCTTAATTTGAAATCATCCTCTCGGTTGAAATTGTGTCTGTGTTTGTAAATCTGAATTGCCTCGTGGACAAATCTCTGATAAAACTCGTGGGTTTGCAGAGAACCTTGGTATCGGGGAAAACTATATCGTGATCACCCACAGCGTTGTAACAGTGATCAGCTACGGCAGAAGAATTCGTTCTGCCGTGTTTCAAATCTGATTTGTGCTCGCGAATTCGGTCAGAGCAAATTCGATTTTTTTGTTGTTTTATTTTTTACCTACGTGACTTTACCGAATAGAACCAGAGTATGGATCCTTGCAGTCACGAAAGCTTCAAATCTAGAATTGGTTTTAAAGTATTTTGTGGGTACGGTTACACGGATTCTATTTCAAAATACAAAATGAATCCATAGTCTAACCGCGCTTAACCACTCTGACAGTCGTCTACATACATGGAACATGTCATGATATAGAGTAGGGTGGGAGCTGTGGCCCATCACACAAACACTCCTCTGTTGCAATCATAAAACTTCTTATAACACCAACACGCTTGACCAATATTCAAGTGTGGTTAATGAGCATACGATATGGGGCATTTGTAGGTTGATTAATTAAGGAAGCGTAACATTGGACTGTTTAATAAATGTCCTCTTGCCATTAAATGATATTGCTTTTGAATTTTTACTAAACACCTAATTTTAATATTGTGTCTAAAACATCACACATTGTAAGGCATTTAAAACAGAACGCACATATTGTATGATAAAAGGTGTACGTATATTTAAAATGCAGCAGTGCAACAGAAGTGAAAACAAATATTCCAGTTGTGTCAGACATAAAATGTAGTATACATCTGTGCTCGGACAATTGTATTTACGTGGAAAAGTATATGTGAACTTAATCATTGGAACAGACCTTCAGAGTCACCATTAGAACTTGTGTATTACCATTCTGCCAGTGTTAAAAGTGTATTTCATCTTTCATGTTATCGACCGATACAACCAACTCTGTTGAGTACAAGCATTTATTAGTACCCAAATTCGTGTCAGAGGAAGTATCGTTTACATACAATCCTGCCGAGCTAGTTTGAGCCAAATTATTGCTCGAAACGGCCAACGGCATTCCCTCAGTCATTTCATCTTTCCCAGGACAAATTGTTTCATATTCATGAGTATCCCAGTCTTCATTGTAGTAGAAATGATCAAATGGAACTTCGTATATTTCCGATGTGCTTGAATCCATCTGAAGCTCAGAATGGTGTGGCTTTTTCCTGCCAAACAAAGTTCAAGTCAGGACTTCTTTCACCATCAACATAAATTGGCGCAAATGTGACCGACTGATGGGCAAAGCTTTACTGATGAAAATTCCTATGATTGAAATATCAATCCTCCGTATGGACACAGGGAGAGGTACTGTTGATACATTTTCATGTTAATCAAGTTCAGCCTACAGAGTAGGAATCTATCTGCAGATTCTGACAATCTATTATCACTGTTACTGGATAATAGGTCTAGAGAAAACTGCAGGGAATTACCAAGGCACAGCTACTTCATTAAGATTAAGATCAAATACCCTATAATATTAATTGAAAATAAACTGGCTATTGCGTGTATTATTCAGTTCCAAATGTCATACATGAAAATTAACCACAAAATAAATAAGGTCATGTGAATTTAATCCGGTGGAAGAGATCATCTCAATAGACTCGATAATGAATACAGGAATTTATGGTTATGGTAAACATGATAATTATGAAAAATAAATATATATTATATGTTTAAGTTTTAATGATGATATGTATTCATGTTACTAATTCAAAAATGTTTATTGTGTTACAAATTATTCATAACATTTCTGACAATATTTGATGAGGAACACTCTTGTTGAGAATTTTAGTTCCTTTCCCCACATCCTTTTTAGTTTTATTCACAAATTGAATAACCAAGTAGCCAATTAAGCAGCTTTGGGTATGCAGTGTCCACAAAGCAGCATCCTCGATCAATGAGTTGATGGAGACAAAACACACATTTAAAAACATACCCAGAATCTCGCAGAGGGCCCCGTTGTGCGTTGCTGGACATTTGCACTCAAATTTTGCTTAATCGGAGTGAGTATACTAGTCTATAATGTGGTCTGTCGCCTGGCTATTACGTTTGGTGAGTGTAGTTGCAGTCTATAATGTAGACTGTAGGCTGGTTCTTAACCTTGGTGAGTGTACTGGCAGTCTATAATGTAGACTGTAGCCTGGTTTTTAAGCTGGTGAGCGTATTGGCAGTCTATAATGTAGACTTATTCTTGGAAAATAAATAAACCACGACGTTTCGATCGCAACACAGGCGGTCGTCATCAGGAAACCCTCCCCGTTGAGGAGGTAAAATGTTGACTTAAAACTTTCGTGACTGCAGGAATTCATATTCTTTGTTTTTTTAATTCACTTTATTTTTTATTATTATTTTTCTATCTAAAGAACCAAAGAATATTAGTTCCTGCAGGCACGATAGTTTTAAGTCAAAATTTTTCAAAAACCTCGGTTACAATTGGTACACCCATACAGACACAAACAGTAACACCACGTGCATGTTTTTACCAACCCATTTTGAGACCAAGCAACGTGTTTGAATAGAGTAGTCAGTGACCTTACACAATATACCAGAAACAGAGGTAGTGAGGTAAATTAATTGCAGTTCAGGTGCACAATGCTTAAACAACGGTGATAATATTTTTCTACTTTTGACTATAATGTTTATTCCAAACGCTATTTGCAGCTCTTTGCAAATGATTTACATTACTACTGTGTATCATGAAAAATATTTGACACACTTTTATTTGCATTGCACGAAAATAATAGTTTATTAAGCTCATTTGTGCACATGGATTAGTCAGTAACATAATTAGAGCCAAGGAAAGCCGGTAGCTTACTTTGACTCTTGTACAATCAGTAACATGGTTCGAGTGCAACCAGGGAGCCCGAGGTATACATATTAAGAGTAGCTTGTATGTGTAGTGCTAATGCTTCTGTGATCCGGGGTGAGAAATACTCACGGGATCCCAGGTTCGAGTTAAGATGACGTTATGAGGGAAAGGAAAGAGAAGGTGGGGCGAGAGAGAGAGAGAGGGAACGCCCAGGGACAGAGTGGCGACGTCCCTGGATTAGGCGGAGCGATCGGGGCATTTTCTGGAGGGATTCGGAGTGCAGTGGAATTGACAGAGCCAATTAAATCAAGTTGTCAAATCATGAGCCAATAAACCAAATTAAACTAATTGTTAATCACTCCTTGTGTATGAAGGGAGGAAGTTTGAGATTGCACTCAATAAACGACAACACAACTTGGGTCAGTTATGTAGAAGGGAAGGCTGTGGGGTGTTGGTGGTGAAGAACTCGACAAGCGGTACATCTCATCCCAACCAGTGCCCCCCGCTGCAGCCTAGCCAAGGGAACCCCCACCAGCGGCAGCTATCCCTGTGTATGTTTCGGGTGTGTACGCAGCCACAGACTGTAAATTAGCATCGGCCTACCAGGAAGGAGTGACGTTTGCGAAGTTATTTGTCCCAATTAACTAATGTGCAAGTAATTAATCAAATCTGGACACTGACACTGTGAAGCACAGCGTTGCATATTTATGGTGAACGGATCTGCAGTGTGAACCAGCGCAGCCACTGGCTCGTGCCACGAATCCTTAACGGAAAACGTGCAACCGCTTAGCCATGAAACAACACTTTTGACTTCCAACAGTGGGATGCAATTTTTATTACTTTGCATTCCAATATACGTGAATTGTAACAGCATAACAACTAATAATAGGGTTTTCCCCTTTTTTCTGGCAACAAAACTGAAACCTTTTTACAAGGAATCATGTGTGCAATAACCACAATACTTCTGGTCAAAATGCAAGCGAAAAACACACTGATAATATATGCATTGTCCTTGAAACTGATTGGTCCACACCAGAGACGGCTTTCTTTTGAGCCTCGTCTCAATTTGTGCTAGACCAGAGGACGCCAAAAGGCGTACAGCTCAAAGACAACGCACTATCAGAGTAATGAGGGCTCGGAGTAGGCATCTACATCATTAGACCTCCTTTGCCAGTATCAAAATATAATAATAGGGTTTTTCCCCTTTTTCACAAGTATTGTGGTTAATGCACACATGATTCCTTGTAAAAAGGTTTCAGTTTTGTCTGAAAAAAGGGGAAAACCCTATTATTATATTTTGGTACTGGCAAAGGTGGTCAAATGATGAACATAACTTTTGCACAGCACTGGTATGAGATCCAAATTGGGTGAGTCTATTATTATGATTACAATTGTTAACCTTAGTAATGCCTCATGAAGTCTAAGAACTCTTCTTCAAGAGGGTCCTGCCAAGTTTTTGCAATAGCTGTGTGTAATCCCAATTTAATAATTTGCAGGTAATATTGAAGTGTTGGGATGTTTGGCCAATGCAAATTAAATTGCGTGATATCTTATGTATTTGTTTTAGACTTCGTTCGCACCGTACGTAGCCAACCATGCTAATCAGAGGTGTGGGGGAGGGACAACAAACTACACACAAAAAGCAGTTTTAAGGAAATTAGTTTTCAATCTAGATATAAAAGTGAATAGCTCCAGTGACTTCCTAATATCGGAAGGAAGAACATTCTAGACAACCAGAGAAGCCATCCAAAAACGAGCGATGCAGTGGCCATCTTTGTTCGATGGCTAGCATTATGATTCGAGGCTAGGCAGAGTTCCAGAGCTCAGAATGGGGGAGTAATTTTCCTCCAGAGTGACTGTGCGCAGTTTCATGTTATTACTTCATTGTTGAAGGTCTCAGAAGGTGTGTAACCGCTTATCTATATTCGGGATATCGCCAATAGTGCCGATACCTGCACCCTTCTAGGTGTGCCCCGGGATCTGTGGCTGCCTCTCCTAAGAGATGGGTAAAGCAAGACAGTGACGGTGGAATAATGGCCGGGGTTTGCACGCTGCGCCAGATGTCAAAAGAGCGCGCCACGTTCAGGGGAGGTGTGGCGGTGGGATTAGGGGAGCCTTCAGGGTGGGGGTCTTTAAGACCTTGGAGCAACCAGGTAATAGACAATGCCTTCCCCCCCCATTCGATACGGATGATAGAATCACAAACGAGTTATAAGAAAGACACAAAGGCTTTACGAGTTATTAGTACTGACCTGGATCGTTTTCTTTTATAGACGACGAAAACAATGACGGCAATGATCAAAACTCCTCCAACAGAGCAAACCACAGCGATGACGATGGTGATGGTATTATCTACTGACATAAACCAAGCACGTTTCAGCATCGCATCACGAGGTCATATTATTTCTTGAGCAAAAGTGCATCAAAGTTTCAATGAAAAACATCGTTACTCGGTGAAAACCACAGAAAATGTTTACAATACTGAACCACTGTGGTGCATCAAGACTGTTGAAAGTAAGCAACTGAAATATTATATCACGAACAAATACAAGTTACCAATTGTGAAAATCCTTTGGCTATGGTTGAGGAATAGGACATGATACGTTGAGTGTGGAAAGCAATGTATTTCAGAAATAAGACTAACCCTCTTCTTTGGTTCTTTCGGTAAAGTCACGTATTTTATTCTCATTCTACGTGACTTTACCGAAAGAACCAAAGAAGATGAATCCTTGCAGTCACGAAAGCTTTAAATCGAAAGACTAACCCTGTATCACTGTTTTTAGTATATCATCAGATTATTATTGCTGAACTTAACATTCACTTGAAAGTATGTTTGTAAAGGATGTCAGTGGTGCCGGCTCAGGGCTCTAAGTATTAATATTTCATGACAAAGCACTTCCTAAACATTTTATATGAGGTGAGTTTACTGACAAGCATTGTAAATATAAACTTAACGAGACTTAGTAAACTTAATTACTGCATTGCTCATCACTTTGTCGAGAAAATAAAAATTACATCAAGGGTAATGGTATATGTAACATGGCGCACTCCACAATGGAACAGCATCATTATTTAGTTATCTTCACCGTGTGGGTTACCTTTTTTCTCGCAGTATTTTCCAGTGTAGGAGGAAGGACACTGGCACACAAGCACGCCATCCTCTACTGTGCACGTGCCTCCATTCTTGCAAGGATTCGAAGCGCACAGGTCCACTGTAAAACACAGCATTGTTAAATGCCTTGGCATCAACCACGGAACTTTCCCGTCGACCAATATAATACATATTACATTGCAATGTATTGTTGGCCTGACTGCACAGGCTTCCAGCTTCACAAATGATTCAATTCACAATCCTATTGCTAATGCACAAAGCACTTAACTACCTCGCCCCAGCCTACATCAGAGACATGCTATACCCATATCCCCTCAATGTTTCTATTCCATTCTCGCATATAGGAGCAATATTTTCAGGAGCTCAATGCCAATGTCGAGGTCTGCTAACCACAAGTGGCCTTCAGGAGAGTTTGTGTAGTTGCACTGTTCCTCCATTGAAGGAGGGCAGACCACAGTGACCTACGATAAGATCCACAGATTGGATTGCATGGCCATGGTTCCAATGTGGCGGCTTGTCTTTTATTTTTCCTGTTGAAGGTGGCGAGGAGGCCAGGTTGAGGGTGGTAGATGGCAGCAACAAGAGTGCAACCATTTATTTTGTCACTCGCCATCAGCACGCTGTCATCAACGTAATGGCCAGGAAGTCACATTCAGGTCTTGAGAGTCCTTCAATATATAGTTGGTTTTACTTGAAGACTTCATCCGATTGGTTTCTGGCCCTTAGAAGAGCTTTTCTTGGCATTTATCTCTGTTCATTATATCTGGATTCGAATTAATGACGTCCATTTCGCCAAGATGATGGCATTAGTTGTGTTTAAGGTCTCTGATCTGGGGATGCAGATCTTCTCTGCATTCCCCGACCGAGATGTTCTCCATGTAGCAGCCCCCAGACTCTGGAACTCTCTCCCACGAGATATCAGGTTCTCCGAGTCTTTGGACATTTCTAAAGCACGTCTTAAATGTTATCTATACAATTCAACTTATTAAACTTTTCGTTAATTCAACAAATGGCTTTTATCATTTATTTAATTAATTTGCCATATCTCAGTGTTTAATTCCATGGGTTATTGTCATGCGGGGTGTCTGAAAGGTGCTTTATAATTATTATTTTATTGGCATAGGAAGTGCAACGTGGTCCTTTTTTCTAAGGTCACCATCAACATAAATTTGCGCAAATGTGACCGAATGACGGGCAAAGCTTTACTGCTGAAAATTCCTATGATTAAAATATCAATCCTCTGTATGGACACAGGGAGAGGTACTGTTGATACATTTTCATGTTAATCAAGTTCAGCCTACAGAGTAGGAATATATCCACAGATTCTGAAAATCCATTATCACTGTCACTGGATAATAGATCTAGAGAAAACTGCAGGGAATTACCAAGGCACAGCTACTTCATTAAGGTGAAGATCAAATGCCCTATAATATTAATTGAAAATAAACTGGCTATTTCGTGTATTGTTCAGGTCCAAATGTCATACATGAAAATTAACCACAAAATAAATAAGGTCATGTGAATTTAATCCGGTAGAAGAGATCATCTCAATAGACTTGATAATGAATACAGGAATTAAATTATCTGTAACAATTTTTTGCTGCTGATGACAATGATGATGATGGAGAATTGATGGTTATGGTAAAAATGATAATTATGAAAAATAAATATCTACTATATGTTTAAGTTTTAATGATGAGATGTATTCATGTTACCAATTCTAAAATGTTTATTGTTTTACAAATTATTCATAAGATTTCTGACAATATTTGATGAGGAACACTTTGTTGAGAATTTTAGTTCCTTTCCCCACATCCTTTTTAGTTTTATTCACAAATTGAATAACGAAGTAGCCAATTAAGCAGCTTTTGGTATGCACGTGTCCACAAAGCAGCATCCTCGATCAATGAGTTGATGGAGACAAACACATTTAAAAACATACCCAGAATCTCGCAGAGGGCCCCGTTGTGCGTTGCTGGACATTTGCACTCAAATTTGTCATTCGTTGCCATGCAGGTTCCTCCATTCTGGCAGGGGTTTGACGCACACGGGTCCACTGCAAGAGAGGTATGGTGAATATGCAATTCAACTCCACCGTTGACAATGCCAGAACACAAAGCCACCAATTTTTATTCCAGGGCAGTGTTGTTGATGAATGCATTGAGGTTTGTTATTTGTGTAGTGGAGTAAACAATACGCATAGGAATTGGCCACATACAGTACATACAGACAGACATGGAGAACGGGTCACATGAGGTCGAACAGGTGGTCGAGTCGCGGGTGGCGTAAACATTACCCGAAGTAATTAAGGGAGTCGTGGCACGAAGGCTGTGATTGGTCAGGAGGCTGTTAGTGTTAAGTGGTGGCGTCTGGATGTCTGATGGAGGGGACAGGTGCGAGCTGGCGGAAAACAGCCAGCGAGCCACGTGGCAATTAATTAAGGCTAATGCGAAAGGGGATAAAACGCGAGGTGGTTTGAACGGAGTTGAGTTGCTGCTGGGGAGTTGTTGTTGGAGAGTTGTTGCTGGGCAGTTGTTGGCGAGAAGAAGACAGCTGGAATGTTAGGGAAGAATAGATAGAGAGCCGGACCCCAAAGACAGTAAATAGCGATAGGGAGAGTCAGCGTTAGCGGAGATCGATGGAGTCACTGTGTGTGAATAGATAGATGGAGTCACTGTGTGTGAATAGACAGACAGGATACTGTGTGAATAGATAGAAGAAGAACCACTGTGTGTGGAAGGGAAGTCACTGCGTGTGAAGAGATAGTGGCGATACTGTGTGTGTGAGGAGATAGAAGACAAACCACTGTGTGTGGGAGGAAAGTCACTGCGTGTGAAGAGATAGCGGCGATTCTGTGTGTGAGGAGATAGAAGACGAACCACTGTGTGTGGAAGGGAAGACACTGTGTGAAGAGATAGAGGAAGGAACACTGTGTGTGGAAGGGGATGCACGGATGATGCTGAAGTAAATCGGAGTGTCCAAGTTGGCGGAGCACGGAGAGAATTACTGTGTGTACGGAACGATGGAATAAAAGTGACAGCGGAAAAAGAGACGGTTGTCGTCCGAGTGAATTCACGGCACTCCATTTGTGCTTGTACACTATTGCCAACACATCACGAGCAAAATTACCAGGTAGTTAGTCTCATTTTAACGTACGTCAGGTGGAGCTGCGGTTGGATGCTTACACATTCTCTATTTCGCACTGCTAGTGAGCAGCATACTCTTCAGGAGCCTACAGGCTACGCCTTGCTATGTTTAGTTAATATTAGATTGGTCTGTCTGTGCGAGTACAGTTCACATACCATCACGAAAACTATAAAGCTCCTAAACCAATCGCTATGAAACCACGCAACTCACCATTACCAATGGCCAGATATGCATAGTCGTTTGACAAGATTTACAATTTAAATACTTCCAAAAAGCTATTTTTTGTGGAAATTAACATTGTCCTGCTTACCAGTGCGATGAGTACGTGTGTATTAAAATGTGAGAGTGTGAATGTGATCACCAAACGTGCATGTCTGTGTTTGCATGTTTCCGTGCGTCTATTTCTTTGTACATTAGAATACCCTTACAAAACATAGGCTCCCTGAATGGACCGGCATTTCAGTTTGTTACTGCAGCACGAGGTAAGAGTTGCTGTTTTTGTGGCTTTAGACTGGATCAGTACTCTTAGAAAAGACAAAGTTAGCAACAGCCTTAAAGAGACACCCTGGTTTGTGTCTGGTACTCGCTGCACATGTCATCGATTGATCAACCAATTACTTATGCACGTGTAAAAGTTGACATATGTTTGTGAGGCCATTGTTTAATATTGAGATTTAAATAATGTACTGCAGCGGTCCCCAAACTTTTTTGGCACCAGGGACCGGTTTCGTGGACGACAATTTTTTCACGGACGGGAGGGGGGGGGTTCATCATTGGGTCTTTCCCCCTTTTGTGGGCTTACCAAAACTGTGACTGAGACAAGTGCGCAGTGCGGGAAAGAGGCGCGGACGGAAGTGGTAAGTAAAACAATGGGCGGGCCACGCGCGGACTCACCGCTCACCTCCTGTTGTGCGGCCCGGTTCCGAACAGGCCACGGACCGGTACTGGTCCGCGACCCGGGGGTTGGGGACCCCTGATTTACTGTATTCATGACAATAAGGTTTTTAGATGTATCGAGTAATGTTGATTGTGAGCAGAATTTGTACGTTGCAGTTAAGCAGCAGAAGCCACGCGGATCCACTCACGTGAAATTTCACAGTTCGTTCCATTGTAGTTGGGAGGACAGATGCACTCGTACTCAACGCCGGCCATTGTGCAGGTGCCTCCATTCTGACAAGGGGATGATGCGCATGGATCGGCTGCAAAATAAAACATTGAGACTTACACAGCATGGCCTGGAAATGCCGTGTCCAAAACGGGCCCGGATTACGTAGTTTATGAAATATACATTTAAAAGCGGTAATACATTTAAATGTAAAGTATATTTGCATCTGAAAAGGATTCCCTATCAAGTGTTACCAATTATTTAAAGCTATTAAGTACATTTCACGTGATGAGGGTCATGCTTTACCAGGGAAGTCATTTTCAACTTTATTCAAATTAGTCCTAATTGTATCACTCCCAAAAAGATTTGTGGCCGAGTCAATCCCTGGTCTAGATTTCCCGCACCATCGATAAGCACAGTTGGCTACGTACGGTGCGGAAGAAGTTTAACGTACATATGTAGTGGCGTAACGTGCGCAGGGTTGCAAACAGCGGATGCATTCATGCGTGGGGTTTGCAAACAGTGGGTGCATTTCAGGGCGAGCAGGTGCAAGCATTCGGACATAAAACAGCCACCAGAGAGGCGCCAGCAATCAGGGGGTGCATTTGGGGACAGGCAGGTGCAAGCGTGGGAACACAGGGTAGGCGCCGGCGAGACGGGAGATGGAAACGATAAGAGAGAGAGAGAACGTGCACGAGGCGCCGCCGAGGCGCCGGCTTAATGGGGGCATCCGAGGACCCTTAATGAGGAGAGGGATATAAGGGGGTGTGCGAAGCAACACAGTGAGTCGGTTGGAGCTGAAGAATCGAGGACAGGAAGCCTGGGACCTCGCCCTCCACACCTCGTCCTCCCCAGCGGTGTTGGCTGAACCCCCGCTGGGGGCACGGACGAGGTAGGAGGTGTGAGAGAAGGCTAACAGGCTAACGGAGTATTCATTGACAGGCCAGCGGAGTATTAAGTGACAGGCTAGTGGAGTATTAAGTGATAGGCTAGCAGAGTGTTAAGTGACAGGCTAGCGGAGCAAGAGAGAGAGTTTGGAACAAGAGTGTGTGGTGTTAAGTGTGAGGAGCATCCGTGCGGGATGCGATGAAATAAAGTGACACAGGAGAAAAGCTGAAAGTGTCCGCGTGAATACATCGCTACACATATGTAATGGGTTCGATTGTGGCGCACACTCAACTTGGAGGCAACACTATTTATTAACGCATAACCAACTGGAACATTATATACAGGGTGGTGACCACCGTTCCTAATCTCGCTAACACTCGGGGAATACTACACAGGGTGACCAGGACAGGTGATGAGCTGCCTGGTCACGGACGAAGGTCGGAGACTCCCAAGCCCGTTGATGGCGTCTTCATTCCGGGGTTGGACAGCCCCGCTCTCTGTTCACGCCCCGCTTATAACCGCTGTGGCGTGGCCGGCTCTGCCCCAGGCCACGCCCCCCTTCTCGATCCTTCGAAGGTCCGGGCCCCCAACCACGTGACCCCAAAGCTCCCCCCTGGGGCCCCTAGCCCCCCTTTATCGGTTCACGTGTCCTGTTGGGTTCACGCAGAGTGTTATGGCCTGACACGACCCCCGTGACACCCGCCTACAGCACCCATACTGAGCCAACACAGTAGTGACGTCGTATGTCACTACACAAACATACAAACTCAAAGTAACAACTGTGGGTCAGGTGCTATTCTCAAGTTACTGCAGGGTGGCTCTCTTCATAGATTATTGTTTAAAATAAAACAATAAAAACCCTACTTCTCCTACCAGCAGAACGCACTTGAAAAAGCAAGAGAGGGTTCATCAAGCACGCTATGGTTCGTGATTCTTACTGGAGAAACAGCCGATGGTGAAGTTGCTGATGGTACACACTTCCTCTTCACTACAACTATATCTGTTGCACACCAACGTCTCTGTTTTCAGACATTTGCACGACTGTTGACAGGCGGATGTGTAGAACTGTTCCCCAACCTTCATTATGCACAAACAGGCAAACACACATACACGTAATTCAACATTACACAAGTGAAAATGTGCAAGATAATGGATTTGGTGTACAGACTTGCAATTTTATTAATTAACGCTGTTAATCGACTTCAGCACATCACTCAACAAACTTGCATGAATACACGTAGGGTAGCAGAGAATATTAACATTCATGACAACAAATTGGGGCACAGCTGGCTCTTGTGAAGAATTGTATAATTTACATCTCTTATACATATTACGCATTCATTCTAAACACACACCTCAGAATGCAATATGTTTCGTGCCCAGAACGCTCAACGTATTAAACATTTCTGCAAAACGAGTGAAATGTGAACCACCAGAAAACATGGAATACTTAAGAATAACAGCGTTCCTTGATGTCCACACATCATTCAGGTTCAGACTGCGAATCCCATCACACACATAGCAAGATTCACCAAGGTGAATTTCACAGCCTTATATTTAAAAGAGCAGGAATGGGGACTTTACTGTATCTGAGTGTATGTATATATAGAGTATATGCCACATGGTTGATCCATTTTTTGTTTGTATCATTACCTCGTGATAGGACTTCTCATAGAGGCAGCCGCACTGGGTGAAGAGGATGCAGTCGAAGCCGCTCATCACGAACCCGGGCATGCACTGGCAGCCCTCCACGTCGGGAAGCTCGCAGTTCGAAGAAGCGGCCAAGTCCCCGCAGGTGGACGGGCAGGCGGACATGCGCTCGACGTAGACGCTGTTTGGAGGGCACGTCGGTTCTGTGTACGCACACACACACACACGCACGTACCAATGCATACATACAGCAACATACGTAAAAGTCCCAGCCATGTGTATGACTTTATGATATAATACTAATTTGCAGCCCTTCGTCAATGCACTGCCGAGAGAAAGCCTCCCCATGATGTGTGGGTCATGCGTGTTGTTTGACCATACTTCACCACACTAAAAAATATACTACACACTGTTATGCGCAGCGCATTGTCTGTAATAAAATTACAAACAAGGATTTATTTGTTTAAAGTACAAGAAACACAACTTTTTTGTCGATCAGCCAATAGGCCAATGTTTTCCAGAAATATTTCCATTTTAAGCAGGCATGCACCAAATGTCTCACTGTGCTAATGAGACTAAAAAAATTGCACTGGTTCAGTTTCAGTAGTGCCCTAAAATACCCTTTTTATGAATAAAACTTGGGTCCAAACCCAATTCCGACAAAAGCACATCTCTTGTGACGACAGCAGTCCCTTGCGGAAGAAAGTGATTGCACATTGTGAAATGCTAAAATGTGGGTGGAAGAGGCTCAAGGCACAGAGTGACATCGGTGATTCATCTCACCACAGCCCGTGTGGATTCTCCAGTTGTTGGGAGTGATGCCTTCCTGTTGGCAGGCTGACGTGTAAACCTCCAGACTGCTGCAGAACAACTCTTTGTCTCCAATGTTTTCACACATGTCATACATGCAGTTCCTGAAAAAAACATGATGCATGCACTCATTACCATGATTATTCTACAAATACAGTTATGCACAAACTATCCTTACAGTTCCTCCAACAAAAATAATAATTTACGATTATCGGAATGTAAACACGTAATTTTCAAACTTCATAAGAAAATATTTTCATCCCTTTGTCATTTGTGGCCATGGTTAATCAGTGGCGAGGGTGATCTGAACCAGTCCTGGGCCATCCTTCACCAACCCAAACTGACCAGCACGGTGAAGTATGGTCAAGTAAAATCCATGATCAGCAGGCCATGGGGAAGCCTTTTCCCAGTAGCGGATTCACAAAGGGCTGTAAATTAATTAATGTAATTATATCAGCTAACTCAACTGGACCAGGTGTTTATAAGGCACCATATTATAAGTGCATTTTCCAACTAAAACTCAGACGATATTTTAACTTCCATTTCTCAGCTTGGAAGAAGGGCAACTGACTGGCCATAATGTAACCCTGCTACATATCCCTTTTGTACTCTCATTGATGAGGGCAATGAGGTGTCAATACAGTCCCTTGAGTTGTAATATGGTGTCCATAGAGGTATGATAACTACGCAGCCGGTTGAACAGTGTGATTGAAATGTTGGACACATTTCTTATAGACTTGAGATGATTTACTGCTAGGTGTTGGACGAGTATTTTTGTTTACAATATAATAATTTAAAAAAATAAAGAGAAACGTTAAATGTTGTACGTGAATTTTTGAAAGGGTATTTTCAGCATGAATTGAGAATCCCAAAGATTTTTTGGTAAAACACCGCCATGATTGATGTGCATTTTGTGCCGTCACCGTAATTTTGAAAGTACTGGGCACGTGGACGTGCAATAGTTTGTTGGCATGCTGCATCGAAGCAGCATGCTGTGTCCAAATAAACTAGCTTAAAAGACATTCAATAGACCTGGCGATTCCCCGGAGAGTGATGAAACTCGTAGTCAGTTATTCATACTACCAAGGGTCTGTGGGTATAGCTTTAAAGTGCCATTAATGGATTATCTATTTAAGGAGCCGCTATGGGGTAATGGTGAGCGCAATGGACTTGCAATCCAGAAGTTACCAGTTCAATACCATCTTCTGGCATGGCAGTTCTCAAATCCCTCCCCACGGCCGCTGTCTACCCAGCAGTGTTCAACAAAATCGATCGGCAGGTCACGTGTGGTGGGGTAAAGTGTGGGTACGCCCACCTCTTCCAACACATTTAGTTAACGTGGAAGAGTAGACCAAATACCCTCTAGAGTTCGCTGGAGTGGAGGCCCTTCCACCAGCAGTTGCGCGAGTGAGAATTTGCAGGGTTGTCACCCCTTTATGTACATCTGTGGACACCCTGAATTTTAATACTCATATACCACGTATTTAATGTAATACAATGCACATTTATGCCACTGAACCGCTCATCTCAGCTGTGGACGCACGTGTAATATGGGTCCACAGGGGCAGGGATCCAGCACTGCACGAAGGGCCCAGCAGGATCATGAAACACTCCACAGGAATTCTTGTTCTCCAGCTCTGCCCATTGCTCATCGCTGCAGCTGAGGTTGAGGTCATTCCGGGGTTCCTCAACGAGACGTTTCGACCTGTACTCACGATGCACAAGATTAACCGCCATTGCAAATTATCAGTGTACCCAAGCTGGGGTCATCGTAACGTGGAGGAACAACACCTTTTGCCGTGAGTGCAGCATCGGCCATGATGTCAACGTCACACTGATTGCCAAGCTATAAAATTAGATTTAGTGATTTGAT